CTTTAATTGATCAACTAAGACTTCGTTTGGGACGCCTTTCTTCTTGCTTTCTAAAACAACTTTCTAGCACAAAAATTTTTTGAATTTGAAAATTTTGAACTTGAACTCCGTTTTTAAAAAGCAGTATGAAAACAGTCACAAATGAAGCCTAAAGGAAGGCTTTTGAGTTAAAATAGTATGCTTACTATGTGCCGGCGATTCGACTTGTGTTTCCTTGAGCTTCGTCGATGCCAAAGAGCTTTGCAAGGCCAAAGTCTGAAATTTTAGGGTTCATATTGCTATCCAGCAAGATGTTGCTTGCTTTCAGATCACAATGTATCACTCTGACGCGTGAATCTTCATGGAGGTAAAGAAGACCTTGAGCAATTCCTTCAATAATCTTATATCGCGTTCCCCAGTCTAATTGTACTTTCTGAACGGGATCTATTTGGTTTTGATGAAGGTTGTCAGTATAAATGAAATTATGCAACGAAAAAACAATTCTGATTCAGAAAAGATTGAGGCGATCTATGTTGTTACTGATGTTTAGAAACCAGTGCTACGATATCTATACTTCTAGGCCGTAAATTTCATCCTTGAATTTTGCAGATCTTTATCCAAATATGTTACCATCTTCAAATGGACTCAAAAAGTTAAAAAAAAAAAAAAAAAAAATTAAGTTCCATTGAAGTAGCTGCTGTGGCTATTGTCGAAAACTCCTCTTCTTATAGTCAAGAGGTGGAATCTCAGGAAAACTCAGATATCATTTCCGATTTGTTTTTGGACGACATCGGCCTGATGTTCATGAGGAGAGGGGCCATAAGTTCCATATGCTTGGGAGCAACCCCGCACACAAAGCTACTAAAAAAACCTTTTACGAAATCGTCAGTGAGAAGTATACTCTTTCTCCAAATCATCCTTCTTTATACTCCAGTTCTAGCTCCGAGAGCACTGAAATCCATCTACAACAATTCAACCAATCTAACAATTGCAGTACCCCACACCGATTTTCCCACCTTCCGTTCCTCCTTATACCCATCCAAATCATTATTACTATAATCCTCACCTCAATCCCTCGCAACCTTAACCTCCTGTCAATCCATACAATCCACCTTATGCAAATTCCAATAACCCGTGCTTCCAACATTACAACAACTTCTCCTCTCAAAAACCACTGGACGAATATGCTCCCTCTACCCCCTCTCTTGATCCGCCCCTCCCATGCTCGCCCGCATCTGCTTGTTCTGCGCTCACGTGTCCCGTTTGTGACCTGACCAGCCGCCCTCGGCTTGGCATCCCTTGCCCGGATATGCCCGCCGTTCTTGCGGCCTGCCCGTCCCGCGACTCAGTTCATGAGCGTGACCGCACATCCTGTGCCCGCTCATGACGCCGACCTGACCATCAAGTCTTGTTCGTCTGCATGCCGCACCTACTTCCTTCCTCTCTATACCCCATCAAAGAACTCCTCGCAAATATCACGTCTCTGGTGGCAGCAAAGCAGTGAGATTTGCATCTTTCAAGGCACAGCTAATGCTGCCAACATCAAATGCTGTTTTTGGCACTATAGGGAGGGCAGGAGATGATACACTAGTTTACATTACAATTGATGAAATCCTTCTTCAAGACAAGCTCGTTCGACATCTTGTTAAAGCTGGGCACGATATTCATGTGGCTACTGCAGCATCAAGGTTTGTTTTTACAATGGATAAACAATCTATTAATCCTTAAATTCGGAAGGTCTTGTTCGATTTTGGTGTTGTTCAAACTAATGCTTTGACAGTGGATCGCTTAGCTTCCTTGGAGAAGTATCTTGAGATAGTTGGTTGTGTCTCTAGCCTCAATTTTGACAACTGAAGTTGAGTAGCTTAAGTCCATAAAGGCTGACTTAGTGATTTTAGATGTTGTTCCTGTAGCATGCAGGATAGCAGCTGATGGAATGATACGATCTGTTTGTGTTACAAATTTCAGCTGGGATTCTATATATGCTGAGTATGTCATGACTACTGGAAATAATCTTCGCTCTATTCTCTTGCAGATAGTTGAAGATTTTTCTCATTGTGAATTCTTACTTCGACTTCCTGGATATTGTCCAATGCATGATTTTCGAGATGTTATTGATGTACCTTTAGTTGTCAGAAGATTACATAAATCTAGATTAGAGGTGAGAAAGGAACTTGGCATTGGCGAGGATGTGAAATTTCTTATTATTAATTTTGGTGACTGACTAGCTAGATGGACACTAAAGCAAGAATGGTTACCTGATCTTTGGTTATGTCTGATCTATGGTGCATCCGACAAATAAGTGCTTCCTCCAAACTTTATAAAGCTTGCGAAAGATGCATATACTCTTGATTTAATACCAGCATTTGATTGCATGCTTGACCAAATTGGATATGGTACTTTCAGTAATGCTTTAGCCTACAAACTACCTTTTGCCTTTGTAAGGAGGGATTATTTTAATGAGGAGCCTATTCTAAGAAATATGCTTGAGTACTATTAGGGTGGTGTTGAGATGATAAGAAGGAATTTGCTTACTGGACATTGGAAGCCTTATCTTGAGCGTGCACTAACCCTTAGCCCATGTTATGATGGTGACAAGGTGGCTACTAGAATATTACAAGATACTGTCACTGGAAAATGTCATTTGATAGACAAGTTGAGTGGAGCAAGGCGATTGCGTGATGCCATCTCAACTTCAAAGATCCCCTGGTAAGGATATCTCGATTTAATATTGGTATACACAAGCTAAAAATGAACTTGGCCTTTGTTGCGTATCTGTTTTCATGGTTTATGATTTTGATGTTAGCAAACACTCGTATTTCTCTACGACTGCTTTATCTACTGACATTTCAGGTCCACACGATCAGACTGCAATTTGGAACCAGTTCAAGATTGGATAGACTAGGTCTGAGTCAGTTTGTACTCTTTTTCCTTTCTTGAATCTATTGTATTTTTGGTGTGGATCCTGATGTTTTGTAACTTGGAAGATTTTCTATTGTTCCCTAAAGATCTATGTTTTTTGTAGCATCGTCCGGGACGATACTTATATCGGCCTGGACGATCTGTCCAAAAGCAGAAACCCTAATTAGGGCATTCTCATTATAGCAACCGTCATAAGCTGATCGGCCTGGACGATAGGCTCAATTCAGAAAGAATCAGCCGCCATGATCAGATTATATTTTAGGCAATCGGCCAGGACGATATACACATCGTCCAGGATGATCTAACTCAATTATGCCTAAATTGATCTGGTATATTTGGAAAGCATTAATGACTGATTGATACAATCACATCGTCCGGGACGATCGTAGGATCGGCCGGGACGAATTCCTGGACGATTTACATCGGCCAACATCTATTCCGGGCGATGATCTGGACGATTGAAATCGGTTTTAAACTAATTGTCCGGGACGATCGTTATATTGTCAATGTAACCAATTTTCTTCTGATCGTCCCAAATCGTCCCGGACTGATGAGCTTAATTTGTACTGATCGGCCAGGACGATATGTCTATTGTCCAGGACGATAATGTCGGCAACTTGCATATTGAGCACGTTTTGAGATCTTCTATTTAAGCTTAAGCAAGGCACTTTGTAAGTGTCTTTGGTAGCCATTGTAGCTTCGTTCTTTTAGGGGAAACTTGAAGAGAGAGCTTGAAAGGGAGTGAGGAAAGGGTGGAGTTTGAGAGAGGGAGAAGATCCTGTGAGGGGGGTTTCAAGGGAGTGTGGAGGGGGTTCCACACGTTTGCTCTGGCAAGCTCGCACCTGAATACCGTCGGATTTAAGGCTTGTCTCGAGGGAAGTTCACCAAAGAAGAAGATCTCTTTGGTGTCAAAGGACCCGGCGACTCCGCCGCACCAGGGAAGGTGGAAGTGATTTTGTAAGGGCTTCTCCGCCTAGCTGTTGGGGCTAAAGGAGAGACACTTAGTTTAGTGCAATGCTTGGAGGGTGCCTCCAAGGAGTGGACGTAGGTCAAGGTTTGACCGAACCACTAGAAATCAAGTGTGTTCCTTCTTTATTACTTCTGCATTTAATTTCCTCACTTTGGTTTTTATTGTGGTGATATTGATTTTGATTTGTGTTTTGATTGAAAGATATTTTTTACCAATTCACCTCTATCTTTTAATTAGCTTTGGGCCAGTTCATAGGGCCTAACATCCCTAACGAACTTTCAGCCTTTATTCTGAATCATGTCATTTTGGAGTAAATGGAAATGCAAGTTTTATGGGATCATAAATTGCGAACTTTGAAATACTTCATGGTAGAACATCAACTCATACAGACTATGAGGAAGATGGTGAAATCAAGAAGTATAAAATCAAAACTATTGCTATGAATTGGGAAGAGGAAATATGTTATTTTCATGATAACACTCTTAGAATTCCCCGATTATCAGTTTTCTGTAAATACAATAAAAAGCTATGCCACAACTGAAAATGCAAATGATGGTTCAATTTGGAGAGAATCACTCAAGCATCCAAACTTCATGCGCGTAATGATTGAGCTTGCGAAACGCAAAATCTTCGACCCAAGGATTTGTTCATCTACACCGACCACCATTCCAATTACATGCTGATCTCTAACATCATGATATCAAGCTTTTTTGACTCGAGGGGAGAATGATGCAGCAACATCTTAGTTATAATATAGCTTAGGTCTAGTATACCTTTAATATTCTTGATAGTTCTATTTTGCTTTATAAATAGCTAATGTAAGGAAGTAGGGCATATGATGAATATTATATGATTTTAAGTCTTTGAGCTTGGTTTGTTCTATTGTTCTTAGTGTTCCTTCTAGCTCTAGTTCTTCCACCGATCCACTACATCATATAATTCATGATTTAACACATACTAAACCATTTTTCAGACAAGCAAATTTTCACTTAATTAAGGCTAATAAACTGAGTTAAAATATTCAGGAAATCATCCTAATCTACATAAATTAACCAGACCACCAATCATGAAAGTCCTAATAAGGAGTAAACATTGTCAAGCTACAGATAGATGAACATGAAAAGCGTACCAAACAAGTGTTTGTCAAGGCTTCTATTTGGAAGAAATTCATAGACTAGTAGCTTCTCCTCTTCCACACAACATCCCAGCAATCTCACAAGGTTTCTGTGCTGAAGCTTAGCCAGAAAAGCTACCTCATTTTTCAGTTCTACTACACCCTGCCCTGAAGTTCTGGACATCCTTTTCACTGCTATTTCCAGTCCATCATGGAGAACCCCCTGTTTCAAATTCAAGGAAAGAAAGCATGACAAATTATAAAGCCTAGACAATCATATTACATAATCAAGGAGAGCTATCACTGTTCTATCACCTTATAAACTGGCCCAAATCCGCCCTCTCCCAGCTTGTATACTTCAGAAAAATTACTGGTTGCTGCATTTATGATACCAAAATTTAGAAGTAGAGATTTCTCTCTCCTCACCTCCTCATCATCCGCATCATGTTCTAGAATTTATAGCAACATTAGTTATTCTGAACTGAAAAGATAAGCATGAAGGACAGGATTCGGATTCAAATGCAGAAAACGATGATAAACTCTTACTGATTGGCACAATGGATAAATTAACCTTCCTCAATAGAAGTACAATGATAATTGCGAAACAGATCATCAATGCTACACCTTCTAAGATGACAACAATAAGAATCGTTTCTGTTTTCATGCATTCTGCAGCACCATTGCAGATGAAAAATATGAAAAGAAAATTGGTTCACAATACTCCTAGCTAAATTTAGCTAAATTTAGTTCAAGATTTGGGACTAGAATCACCTTTTCCACCGGCGCTTACACTATCATTTTTAACACCAACACTGGACAGAAAGCTCCGGCGAATTCATTCTTCTTTAGCAATATTTTGATCGAAGAAAATATATAAACCTCAAAACCTCACGAAGAACAAGTGGTTTTGAAAAACCCTCCCCCTTGCGTGTAGGCAAGTTTCGGCCACCGTCGATAACAAACACTGAAAGCAATCCTGACTCGATCGCGTAGCAGTGCACACCATTCCATAAATTTCTTCTGATTCTGCGCATCGCCGGACATTCAACCTCCCCCACGCGCGAACTTCGTTGAGGTATTCATCGAACGCCCTCCCAACGCGAATATGCACCAATGAGCTCCGCAAACGCCGCCGGATAAAACGACCGGATTCGCCGGTTGCACATAATTAGGAATAATCCCTACACAGAATCTCGAATTGTGAACGAAAATCTCATGTTGCGACCGAAGGATGCATAAATCTTTGGTAACACGGAGGCCGAAACGCTCTGTCCGCAGCCATCGCTGGAGGCATTGGCCCGACTAACCACCTGGCGGCGGCCAGCTTGTGAAGAGGATATAGAGGAAGACATGTTTCGCATGTAGTCGATCGGCGATCTGGGGCGGACTGGCGAAGCAAGACCTCCACAAATTGGAAGAGATTAGGAATAGTGAATTTGGGGATTTTTGGCGTGGGAGGCAAGGTTTTTGGGCCAAGGATGGTGGCGGACTTTAAATCCATACTGCTTTGAAGACGAAGTGTAGAGATCGCTGGAGCATTTGGTAAGATGGCCTCCCGCTGTGATGTAGTTTTGGCGGTGAAGAGGAGGGGAAGAAGAAAAGAAGATGCATGGCGGAGCAGAAGAGAAAAAAAACCACAGGAGAGAAAAAAAAGGATTCTTGAGTTCTTAAAAGAAGATTCCCAAGAAAAATAACAAAATCGAGAGATCATTAAAAGAAGCATGAGAGTGACTTCGAATCAGTCCTTCTCATCAGCTGAACAACGTCTTTCAAAATTTGTGTTTTCATAAAAGTAAAAATAAATTAATGTAAGGATGGAGTGTTTATAGAAAAAAGTATATATAAAATATCCTAATAATATCATTATTGCAGGATGAATTCATAATAATTTTAAATTTATATGAAATTAATTAAACCAATATATATAATTATTAATTTTAAATATAAATTTTAATTGTTTTTCAAGTTCATCTTACATAATTAATGAATGAGAGAGGGGTTGTTTTAGTGTAGAGAAATTGTTTTTTTTTTTAATATATATATTACATTTATTTAATTTTAATAAAGTTGGCTTAAGCAAGATGATGAATTTTAGAAAATATTTTATATAAAAAGAAAAAATATTATGATTGTAAATAATATTATAATAAAATGATCAAAAGAAATAGGAAAAAAATTAAGATACATTTAATATAAGAAAGTGAGATATAAATTTTTAAAATATTTTTAACAAATAATACTTAAAATTCTGATAAGTGGTGCATTTTATATTAATATTTTATTAAATGGCTAGCCTGGAGCTAAAACAAGTTGACATTCGGCGGGATTGATTTCACGCTTAACACATTAGCTCATTATAACTCAGCTCACGGGCAATTTTATCAAGTCGAGCCGAAGCTGAGTCATGAGCTATCTTGCTCAAATATAATCTGCAACAACATAAATCTAAATTGAAATACAAGAAAGGGTTGCTTGGGATATTCTTCTGTTTTTAACTTTAAACAATTGAAAAAAAACAAGCTATGTACTCAATTTTAGGATAAAAATTCATTTTCCACGTGCCAAAATACACGTAATATTCTCAAAATACAGTGACTAATCTCCAATCGAACTACATCTCTTTAACACAAAAAAGAATATTCTGTGTATTTTCTTTATCATATCTTTAAATTTATCAATTTTTTTTTTTTTTTTTTTTTTTTTTTTTTTTTTTTTTTTTTTTTTTTTTTTTTTTTTTTTTTTTTTTTTTTTTTTTTTTTTTTTTTTTTTTTTTTTTTTTTTTTTTTTTTTTTTTTTTTTTTTTTTTTTTTTTTTTTTTTTTTTTTTTTTTTTTTTTTTTTTTTTTTTTTTTTTTTTTTTTTTTTTCTTTTTTTTTTTTTTTTTTTTTTTTTTTTTCTCTTTTTTTTTATTTTTTTTTTTTTTTTTTTTTTTTTTTTTTTTTTTTTTTTTTTTTTTTTTTCTTCTTTTTTTTTTTTTTTTTTTTTTTTCTTTTTTTTTTTTCTATTTTTTTTTTTTTTTTTTCTTCCTTTTTTTGTTTTTTTTTTTTTTTTTTTTTTTTTTTTTTCTTATGTTTTTTTTTTTTTTTTTTTTTTTTTTTTTTTTTTTTTTTTTTTTTTTTTTTTTTTTTTTTTTTTTTTTTTTTTTTTTTTTTTTTTTTTTTTTTTTTTTTTTTTTTTTTTTCTTGTTTTTTTTTTTTTTTTTTTTTTTTTTTTTTTTTTTTTTTTTTTTTTTTTTTTTTTTTTTTTTTTTTTTTTTTTTTTCTTTTTTTTTTTTTTTTTTTTTTTTTTTTTTTTTTTTTTTTTTTTTTTTTTTTTTTTTTTTTTTTGTTTTTTTTTTTTTTTTTTTTTTTTTTTTTTTTTTTTTTTTTTTCGTTCATTTTTTTTACTGAGAGCGATTAATAATTTTTTTTAACAAACTCCAACACTCCTCACTCGATTAAATCATTGCCAAATACAAATATATTAATATCTTCATCCTTACTCACTGCCTCACTCCACCAACTTTTAATATTAATTTAAAAATAAATAACCTAGCATTTAAATAGTGATCACATTCTAAAAAAAATTAAAATTAAAATAATAGTTAATATCGTGCTTAATCTTTAAGCGTTATATTTTTTTTTTATTTAGACAAATACTTCTGTTAGAAATTCCCATCTCAACATCCTCCCGTGAATCTCAGTATTTTCAGTATGTATAATTCACTTCCATTTGCATCAGGAACTTTTCATACTTTATAAAAAAAAATTAAAAAAAAAATAGAATAAATAAATAAATAAATAAATAAACAGGAAAAAAAAATTCATCTTTATATGAGGAAGCGCTTTGTTTGGACTAGGGCTGCAAGGCACCAAACGTTCGACGAAACTACTCGTTCTGTTCGGTTCGATTAAAGCTCGTTCGTGAGATCGTTTCAAATTAACTCAACAACTTGAACAATATTTTAAATACTCCGGCATCTTCCTTCAAAGTAGACAAGCTTGACACTAATGAGTTCAGCTCGTTTAATGTTCGCGCAACAACATCAGTCTGATGCTTCATGAACCAAGCTGATATAAAAAAGTTGATTTCGGGTTCGATTAAAATCGGCTCGATCAAAACCTTAATAATATGTTATTATAAAATTGATAAATATTCATAATATAAAAACTTTAATTATAACATAATAATATAATTATTTTTTATTAATAACAAGAAACATTTCATATTTGTCAATGTTTGCTAGATTGTTTGTTTAGGATGTTCATGAACAAATTTAAGGTTTGCTTGTTCAACAGATTTTTTGCGAAATATGTTCACGAACATAGCTTGTTTAAAGCTCGATAAGCACTAAACAAACGAACATGAACCAAACATGAACACCCTTAAATTAAACGAACCAAACATGAACACAAATAATAAAGCTCGAATCAAACACGAACCAAACATGAACAAGCTAATGTTAAACAAACACAAACATGAACACTCACATACTCGGCTCGGCTCGGTTCGTTTGCAGCCCTATTTGGGACAGTTTTTTAATGATTTTTAAAATAATATTTTAGTTACAAAAATTTTTGAATTATAATTTTTTAAATTAAAAATTTATTTTAAAAAGCAATAAAAAGCTATTCCAAGCAAAACCTTAGAATGAAATTTTTTCAAGTGTTATTTTTTTTCTATGAAAAGTTGATGTTTTGCTCTGCAATATGATATGCCTACCAAAGTTTTTTAACCAATTAGTTTATTTTTTCATAATTATTCATCAACCAAAATAAAAAATTTCACTCCAATATACATTCTTTCAAAAAGTGGTGAAATTAGAGGATAAAAAAAATCTCATACAACTTTACTTCTTCTTATTTAAAATTCTAATTTGAGCACTACTTTCAAATCATCCGAACGAGATATCTAGTTTTGTGTGAAATATGATTGCGTTGATTAATCGAGTTGTATTATTATCTCAGATCTAAATATCGTTGGTCGAGCTCGTCAAAGGGTTGTAGGGGCAACACTCTCTCTACTCCGAATTTTTTTTTTCCCGTACAAGTACCACAACATTGTATACTAGAGTGTTATATTACTCCAGTCTTGGGCTAGATACAAAGAGCAGAACATTGCGGCACTACGGCACGATGTTGCAAGTCGGGTTGAGATGTTTTTCCTTACTCTTTTTCTTATTTCACTTGAAGGGTTACGTCCTTCAGTGTACTAAAAGACTAAAAGACATATCTTTGCTTATTTCACTTGAAGGGTTACGTTCTTCCGAACACTTATTTGCTCTTTAATTTAAACAATATGATTTTCTTAAATAATCACAGTTTCTATAAAGAATTAACTAAGACCTTTTCACTACTCCTAACTTTCTGGTATCTTATTACTATTTATAATTACTCTCTTTGCCAAATCAATTATTGTTACTGCTATTTAATTTATGACCATGAGACATTCAACAAATCTTGTGTCATCTAATTTTAAATTGATATATTATATTGCTTACAATTTGAAGAAAGTCATGGCCAGCTGGGTTTACTATGGAACAGGAATTCTTCTATCTTTTATGTAAATTGTTCTGATATAAGGCGATTTGGGGCTTGCCATTTGGAAAGTTCTTTTGAAGAAGATAATATATTCAGCAAAAAGGTTCACGTTAAGGCTTAGATTGTTTGCAGGTTGTAAAATACTTCATAAAATCAAAGTTTTTATGTCAATGAAAAGTGTGCTGATATCATTTATGCTCAATGGGTCGATATGAGGCTGCCTTAAAACAAAGCTTGTTATTTATAAACTCATAAATATATATTTCTTCGTGTAGTATATAAATTTGATTGATGTTTATAATCGAGTAGTAGGAAGCATGGGCGGATCCCCATGTAGTTGAGGGGGGGCA